AGGAGCTAGATTAGTTGGGATCATGGGATGTATCTATATTCTAAGTATCCCACCCCCACCCCGTGATTACCTGCACTTGATGTATGTTCTAAGTATCCACCGATGGAATATGACGAGACTGTGAAGTACCGGGCCTAGTAACAAAGGGACTATTCGATTATTTCAGCAAAGGAGAGGAATAACAAATTGTTTATTGTTTTCTAATTGTCATGTGAGTAATAGTAATTCATTTAACAACTTGCCAAATTTACTTTCGGCAGTTTCTTTTGCTTATTCTAGACAAAACGCTCGCTCCGGAACTATATAAAGCCAGGGGTGTTTATCTTTAAGAATGATTTTTGATGATCTATGGAAGTTTATTTAAACTTATTACCCAAAAAATCAATTATTTTTCCATAAGTGTAATTATTTCCTCCAATTCAGCGAATAAAAACTTTCCACAAAAATACAAAAAACATGCATTACATAACTTCGGGTAAAAACAGATTATTCGACAATATATAAACACCTCTATGAATCTGCACAAATAATCTAGTTTAAAAGAATTGGAATTATTAAAATAAATCTACTGAACCTGGTTTAGATATATCCTGTAGATTAACTAATAGAATTAAATAAATCTACTAAACCTGGATTAGATATATCCTGTAGATTAACTAATATAATTAAATAAATCTACTAAACCTGGTTTAGATATATCCTGTAGATTAACTAATATAATTAAATAAATCTACTGAACCTGGTTTAGATATATCCTGTAGATTGACTAATAGAATTAAATAAATCTACTGAACCTGGTTTAGATATATCCTGTAGATTGACTAATAGAATTAAATAAATCTACTGAACCTGGTTTAGATATATCCTGTAGATTGACTAATAGAATTAAATAAATCTACTGAACCTGGTTTAGATATATCCTGTAGATTGACTAATAGAATTAAATAAATCTACTGAACCTGGTTTAGATATATCCTGTAGATTGACTAATAGAATTAAATAAATCTACTGAACCTGGTTTAGATATATCCTGTAGATTGACTAATAGAATTAAATAAATCTACTGAACCTGGTTTAGATATATCCTGTAGATTGACTAATAGAATTAAATAAATCTACTGAACCTGGTTTAGATATATCCTNCAAGGAGCTAGATTAGTTGGGATCATGGGATGTGCATCTGCTCTGTTCAGTTCTCTTATATTAGTCGTAAGATCTATCAGAACCTGGATATAATTTGACTGGAGATTCCTGGTTTCAGCATCAAACTTGACTAGTTTAGGAGGAAAAGGCAAGGTTGCAACGGCAAAGCTGCTCCAGGTCTCATCAAGGACGCATAGACTCCTGACAGATTCTTTAAACTCCTCTATATCTTGCATGATTTGTTGAACTGTTGCTCCTTTTAGTACATCATTGAGTCCAGCTACCAGGAGAACATCAATAGGACGGTGTACATTTCCATATTCGGCTAGGAAGGCATATGTAGCTTAGGAACCCATCTTAGTCAGTAAACTAAACTCTCTAAAAATTCAAATTATTCTTAGGATGTAAAAACCAAATTAGGAAATTCCTGTGGTTCTACCGAGTTCCCCAATCAAAATTTGAGGCATGAGTTGTGATGATTTATACAACAGAGATTATAAAATCTGTTTATAGATATACAGGGTTTTTCTCTTCAACTCTTAAATTTCAATTAAAACAACCTGATAATCTTGCATTAAATATATTATTAGTTGAACTAGATTGGGACATTTATGTTTTAAGAAAAATCGCCATTCATATGAACTTTTCTAAGTTGGTTTAGCTGTGATTCGAAACAGGCTCCATTTAGAGATATACAGTCTCTGGCTCGATCTCTAATGTGGCTGACACACTTTCTGATTTCTGCAGGCTGCAGGGAAACATAAAATTCTTTCAAAATCATTTTAAGCTCTTTATCAATAGCAGATTGAGCAATAACTGTAACCTGAAGGCTCGGTGAACCTGAAGCTTATTTGGAAGTTTTCCATATCCCAGGATAATCCAGATTTTCTACTCTTCAGTATTTGACCTATCAATTCTGACTGGAGCCATTTTTTTTTCGACCAGAATATGAAATGTCCCTTCAAGCTAGTCAATCTTTCGGATTTTTTAACCCAGTTTTGCGCATTTGCCAATAAAATGATAGTCGAAAATAAATATCAGTTGTAGAGGAACACCCTGAAGCTTTGAAAAAAAGAGAAAAATAAATACAAAAATGGATGTATTTTGATGCTAGAAGTATGAAGAAATAAAAAATGTTGTGTTGAATCCTCCCTATTCAAAAGGTTGGTGAGTAAATCTAAAAGAAGTTTCCCGATCTCATCTTTACTCAGCTTCTTCGCTTCAAGATCCTAGGACATAATTTAGATCGTTTAACTAGAGAAGGGGGATCTCATGGGATCAAGCATTGGTCTCCGTCTTATGAAGATCTACAGATTAGTTAAATTCCTCTTCAATACCCCGTGCTAGTCAAACCCAATTTTAATTAAGAGATTAAGCTTTACCTTCAAAATTAAAAGTACTCACATTCAATATATCGAGATCAAGTGGTTGAGATTGAAAAATAGACCACAAAAAAACTTTCTTATGCTGATTAGATGTATTAAATTCTTTGCTGAAAACTACCAACACTTTACAAAACGAGAAACGAGTATAATTCTTTTCAAAGCTTGCAGGCTCTGAAACCGAATTTAATGAATCTGAGAAGTCGCTAAACTACATATCGTCGGTTCAAATCCTGAATCCCCGATTCAAATCCTCATTCATTTTGAGCTTTGAATAGGTGATTCAGAATTTAAATCGGCGGTAGGTACTTCAGCGACCTAGCTTAAATTCATAATATTCAGTCCCTGTTAAATTTGATACCTGTGTCAGTTTATCCGGTAAAAGAAGGTAATCAAACCAAAGTTGAGACATTTTATACTTCTGGAATAAAACAAGATTAGGAACAAATCAGGAAATATCTGACGGTTACGTTATAACTACAGGATTTCATAAGGAAAAACAAAATTAGTATACATTTAGGGTTAGATTAGATTAAGACCCTTTCTGGGCCGAGCG